CCCCCCCCCACCCCGCCAGCAGCGGGGGGTGGGGGGGGTGGATGGGGGGGGTACCCCTCCCAACAATTAGAGGGTCGCAATGTTAAAAAACCACTGCTCTGGGTGCTGCTGAGAAATAACCGCATGTGATAAGAACAAACAGGGCTAAATGCTTCTGTCCATGGCCTTTTTATGGATTGGCCAACATCTGGTTTAAGAAATAGATGGCTTAGGGGCATCGTAGGATGCATCCAATGAAGTGAGTTATACCTTCTCATTGCTTAAGCCTTTTAAATAAAAATTTGTTCCTGAAAAGGGACTCCTAAAGTCCTCCAGATTTCTAGCTTAGGGGTAGAGTCTTGGCAACCTGGGGGACCTATGTTTTGACAAATAAAACAGCCAAAGGGAGATTAAAAAAGAAGAAGAAAATGCACCAAGTCCTTTCTTTGACAACAACTTATTTACCCCCCCCCCCCCCTTAACTCATTCTGTTTTCAAATTAAAACTAATTTTAAAAATGTTTTGATGGTGGCTGCAATTTTGGAATGTTAACCTCTCACCTGCCTTATAACCTGATAAATCTTCTGGGAAATTCTGATTTTTTTATTGTAGTTGTGATCAGATCAGTACAGATTCAGCCTTCTTGAAAGTAGGCCAATTTTGTTATCCTGCTTGTAAAATGAGATAGACTTTGACTGCCCATCAATGAGTTGTAATGTATTTTTTTATCCTGTTTTGTTTTTACTTATTTTTATTTCCTAATGCGCTTCTATCTATGATTCTGGACTGTGCCTGAAACAAATATTCTATTCTGTTCTGTTAACCCTCTCTAGTCCAGCATTTTTCTCCTTAATATCTATTTAAAAAAAACCAAAACTTTAAAACATTTTTTAAAAAGTTACTGTATTGGAATTTAATCCTTGTTGCCAGCGGTAGATGCTCTTTAAAGAAACGCTATATTGATATACTGATATCGATCGGGAGAAAATGTGACTCAAAGATCCTGATGATGATGATGATGATGATGATGATGATGATGATGATGATGAAGATGATGATGATGATG